TAATGAATATTTTTTCATGAAATTTTGGTCACACCTAGTATCAACTGACCAGATATTTCCGTTTCTGTCATCAAAACTATAATAATGAAGATCGTTATTACAAACGAAACGGTTTTGGTTTTCTACTTAAAATGTAGAAAAGCCACCATTCCACCAAAGACGCCAGTAGCACGCATTCGACGGAGTAAGCTTTCATTCTCCCAATCGTTTCTGAAAAATTGGGTTATGTCAGTTCAATATCATTTAGAAGAATAACAAAAGTGACAAAGCGATTTTGCGGCTTGCTGTCCGTGGTTTGCATATTTTCATGTTCGACTTTTCGTCTATATCTGCGGAAGACATTATTAAAAGCGATGAGGCAATGAACTTTTGATATCGAATGTCTTATTAGAAATAATAACGGATATTAGCATTATTTCCAACTTTAGCATTTCACGTTCTTGATTGATAGTTTAATGTAGTTTGACCATTCAGTCGAGAATACATATGAATTGTGAGTAGTTCAACAGAGATCCACTAGGACTGGGCTATACGTTTTTTTCCTTTCACTAATAATTCACTTCGAGACCGGTAGGTAGCTTACAGTTTCTTGTATAACTTGTAAATTCGCACGAGAAAAGAGCCAGTTCATAACGGAGTGCCTTCTGTTTTACCGCAATATCAAGTCATTTTCATGTTTTACTTCATACCATTCTGTGGGGATCCTAAATTATATTTTTTGTTTTGTATTTGCTGGCTGGAAAACACTATTAGAAATATAGACGTTATATAGTACAGGTCTAGAAGAGGTATTGAACGTTTAAGAACGTTTGTTTAGATATTTACGAAAAAGTTTTGAACTTGAACGGTACACATGGATTGATTATTCGATCCAACAAAGAAAAAAAATCGAGTTCAAATTTTATTTATTGATTTTTAACAAATATTTCTAGCTTCTTTCTTGAAATGAAAATATTTTTAGAGGTTGGAAATGAAACTACTTATGATTTTACTACTGCGATTTCAACTAAAGGAAAATAAGAGCAAGACGAGTTATGGGAGAAATTGAAAGGAAAAAAAGTGTGCTATCATAATCCAATTGTTACTTTTGCAGGATTGAATAATTATACCAATAAGGTACATATACACAGTTGGTATCATCATTTTTGAGCCACGTTTCATATAATGAAAGAATATTACGTGCTTGTTGGTTAGATTTTTATAATACTGTCAACAATATATCTTTATCGTATAGCGTACACTGAATACTGAGCGTATGTCCAACGAGAGAGGAGTAGCCTGCCTTCTGCTGGCGTATGCCTGAGAGAAAGGGACGCCAGACGGACTAGCGACTCAACGCGTTAGGTAACAAAGCGGTTTATCCTCCTATGAAAAGTTATCACTTCAAAAATGTTAATAGTGCCCGAAGTGAAAAAGAGAAAATCAAAAGGCCAGACCAAATAAATTTTTTTGAAAAATGTGAAAAAATCAGATTTTTCATTAACCAGCTGGTTGATTTTGTGGTGAGTGTCTTCTGGCATGTGAAACACAACGAATTCTCAACCATCGATGATACGTATCAGGTAATTCATTTTCTTCTAGTATATCGTCGGTTACCTCTGCAGGAGT